TACGTATAATGTTATTTAATCTATCTAATGTAATTATTTAATATTATATGTAGATTATTCTCTAAAAATGAATATTTTATAAATTCACTTTTACCCAACAACGTGCATTTATTGAAGGTTGGCTGTATTGGATTTAAAAAAATCTACTCTTATTTTGAAATAATACACAAAGGCGTATTCAAAACAACGCGCAGATCAATTAATTAGCATGCAGGTGGGTATCATTTTACGCTTATAAGGTAGCGCACCAATTCTTTGCAATAACATATACTATTTAAATAGAGATTCGTTTAGCTCACATATTGAAAGTTTAGCACCAAATAAAAGAAAAAGATATATTAAATTACATTAGTGCATATTTCTGTTTTTTATTGCTGAGTTAAAGATTAATACCAATGTTATTTTGGGTGCTATATTGAATAATTTGTATTACACATGTAAATTGAAATCATTAGCATTGTATAAGTAGAAAATTAATATCTGGTATGTATTGTGTGTTTATTGACTATCGTTATTAAAAAAGGCAATAGATTAGTGATGAACATTATTGCAATCCGGAATCTGTCGATCCTGATTCTAGGCGAATAATAATTAATCTATATCGGATATTATCTGGATTATCTGACTAGAGCGAGCATTAATTAAACTAGAGAACAGGATGTTACACAACTGATCTCTCACCCGGTGTGCAACATTAATTTACAATACCAGATCATTCTGCTAGTACATGTTATGATTATAATCCCCACACCATTTCAGTCAGAGATTTTTCAAAGTTGTGTAATGCAGATTATTTCGTTTTTTGGTAAAGATCTGCAATTTTGTGGTACAAATTTTAACCAAATTTTGGCCAAATTATTGACTACGTTGTTACACTTTTGTTATTTACTACATAACGGCCTTATAAAGCCTCTGGGATCCACACGGATTCCTAAACTACATAGTCTTAAGAAACTTTTTGTAAAAAAATTTTGAAAATTTTTTTAAAACTGATAGTTATTTTCAGAAAATAAAAAATACTTTTGTTTTTTTAATTGAAAATCGATTTTAGAATACTCTTCTAATATATTTGCAGATCATTTCCATATTGCGGAAAATCCCTGACTGCATTTTATTATAATAAAAAATTGTGTGGGATTATAATCATAATAACATGTACTAGCGGAATGATCTGGTATTGTAAATTAATTTTTTTATATGCTGCACAGCACATCGACTTGGTTAAAAAATTAAAGATCCTCTTATGCACAAAAAGGGTGTAGCCAGGTGTAAACCATTACATCATGGGAAATCCACACGAATTCCATGATTTCCTCGATTTCCCTTTGAATTCCCTTATTCGCAGAATCAAGGAAATCAGGGAAATCATGTGGTTATCCCATGATATAGTGGTTAGACCTTTTTGAAAATAAATTTATAGTTCCATGAGGTGTTAACAAACGTGATAAATCAATTAGTTCAACCGGTTTGACTCAAATGATAACAGTTTGAATCCATTCTGTTTGGATTCATGAAATATATAAAATTATATGGCCAGGTAATGTAACGTGTACTTATGAAATATAAATATGATATTGATCGTACGTGAAAAAACTTCCTGTTATTTTCGTATGACAATATTGACGCTATTGTTTATATTATGTTAGCATGTGAATGTCGTTTTATGATAAAAATATCAAGGCATAATTTTACATATCACATGAACAATAACTATTAATCAAGAGTTCCAATCCGGATAAACCGTTTATCCCGTATCAGATAATTATCCAGATATCAATAGTAAATGGATATCCGAATAAATTCAGATCTGGATATTTGGATAACGGATGTTTGATATTATCCGAATAAACGCTTAATGGATTGGAACTCCATTATTAAAAAAAAGTTAATCAATTTAGATGAAATTTTATTATTCTTTTAAATGTTTTAACATAAAGTCATTCTTAAACATCTTTGTAATAAAGTCAAAACATTTTACATTTGAAAATTTTGGTTTACCGACACTTACCACTCCCCTAACAACTATTTTCCCCGAAATGACCATTTCCCCAACAATCACGTCATGTTGGAAATGGTCATGTCAGGGAAATGGTTATGTTGGGGAAATAATAACAGGGGAACCGTCGATGTTACACGACTGATCCTTCACCCGGTGTGGCAAAAACATTGTTCTTTACCCATTTTTATTGACCAAGAAAAAAAAAAAACTCATCGTGGGTATCGTGAGTCAGGGTAACAAATATTCAAATAGATATGAAATCCGTATAGCATTCTGTAAGTTTCAGTTTGAAAATATGTGCGCACTCATATTATTACATGCTTATTTCATATTATTAAAATAAGAAAATTTCATGTGCGATACGCACATGCGCACAACGAATTTTTTATAGTTTTTCAACTCAAAATCGCACAGGCTAATATACATTTAATTCTCAATAATCAAGGAACTATACCCAGTGACAAAGATACCTCCAACAACTAACATTTATTTCAAAGGTTTATAACCTTTTCCAAAAATTAGTAATTCACTTTCCAAATACATATTCGAACATAATGTGCCACGTCATATTTTTAAGGCAGGTCGATAAAAATGGATCAAATGGTCAAAACCAATGTTTTTGTCTCGGTGTGCAACATATAAAAAAATTATTTTGCAATACCAGATCATTTCGCTAGTACATGTTATGATTATAATCCCACACCATTTTTATTATAATGTACTAGCGGTATTGTAAAATAATTTTTTTATATGTTGCACCGGGTGAAGGATCAGTCGTGTAACATCGACAGTTCCTCCTGTTGGGAATAATTCGGGTAAATGTCGGTAAACCGAAAATTTAGCTTGCAAACAAGAATTTTTCTTTTTTTAATTGAATAGAATTTAAAGCATTAAAATAAAATGGTTTAACGTAATTTTATAAATATGTTCAAGAATTGTAGTATACTAAAAATTTTAAGTAATGCGATTCGTTCTTTATAAATGTATTTAGAAATATTGATGATAAAGCCGAAATTTGGATGATGAAATCTAATAATTTAATTGGTTTGGTTAAAGTTATGGTGATCAACCAATAGAGTTTTGTATGTAATTTGGTAATTTCATCATCCCCCCACAATACGTATTGTTGTATTGTGATAATGCCGTCGCGATCGTTATATAATATATACAGTATGTATATCAAAAAAAAATAGTTAATTTTTCATATGATACACATAGTTTCGATTTACATAGTTGAAACATACCCCAGCGATTCACACATCCATACGGCTTAAGATCCGATATTCACTTGATTTATAAACTTAAAAACCACTTTGCGTTAGATACCTTGTTATAAATGCTAATCAAATATATATTACAATTTGCCTTATAACTATCTGATCTCATATTTCCTCGGATGGTAATGAGCCAGATCACATCATTAATCTGTACACATATGGTAATAATAAAGGTTGTTTAATATTATACAGCATATATATACTGTATATGTGTATTAGTTTTTATAATTTTACAAAATAAGAGATCTGGTCTAATATATAAAACTATTATTATCAAAAAATATCAGTAAAATATTAGTATCTGATATGTGACATATATGTAACTTTTATGTAACCTAAAGCTAGCCTATATTTTATAATTTTTAATAAGCCAATATAAGCTAGCTTTAAGTTACATGCAAGTTGTATATAAGTTATATATCAGATATTGATATTTTACCGATATTTTTGATTTCAGCTAGTGATTTAAATATATAATAATTTTATTTTATCAAAATCATAATATGTATGTTTGTTTTATTGTTTTTTAATAATGCGATCTAGCTCGGTTAAAATGTTATCGAGTTGGATCGTTTATGTGCTGTATTTGCAGTAAGAGAAATGTTAGAGATAACCAAACACTGTTACTATTTAAAAAGATGCACAATGAATAAATCACGAATACTTTCTGCGGAATCCTATTTTTAATCAGAAATGAAGTGGACGCGCGTCTCATAATTCTGCCAAAACATTGCCTTTAGAAAATTGTCAATAAATGCAGTATTTATATGATGAAAGTGCACTGCCATTATCCTTATAACAGATAAATACTCTATAACCATTTGATATTTTTAATTGCTTTTTTTCATTCTATTCGGATAACATAACAATCGATATTATGTAAGCTCTCATAACACAAGACATCAGAAAATTGCTAAGGATTTCTAAAATTTAAAAATAGCGCATCCCTTAAATAATATAACTTAAATAGTATAAAGTGATTCTCACTAATTGCGAACTATGCTGTCATTATGTAACCATTAAATTCTATTCGAAGATCCGAGTTCGACTTACACAATTACAGAATTACAGTTTATATTTTTTTTTAGTGTTACTATTTTTAGGAACGATCCCGAGGTAAGTCATTATGTTAAAGATTTTGCACATTCAACCTCCTTTGTATCACCAAAGTTCTCCCCTTCGGTTTTTAGATTTGAATTATTTTAGGTATATTAAAAACAAGATAAAGATTTATATACTGTTATATACCGATTTATGAAGTCATCCAGAATTCTGGGTGCATGGAATGTTAATAAATATTTCAACCCTGCAGTTAATTAACAACCTTTAAAAGGCAATCATACTTTAAATGCTATCAGCATTCTAAGTGCATGATCGATAAAATCATATATAATTTCCTTTGCATTATCGTTACACTGCATTAATTTTCAAATTTGGAAACCTTTAAGTTCGCGACAACCCCTCCTTTCCTTCTTTCAGGGCGACTGGCAGAGATATCCACCATTCTTTTCCTTATTGTCCTTTTTTCTTTATGTGATATCATCTCGATTCTTTTTTTGTTGTTTAATGAAAGCAACAACAAAAATAGATCAACCCTTTCATATAGGGCAATTATTCATTTCAAATATCCGTGTTTAGGATTCAACCAGTTTTATAAATTCTACTTTTTTTTACATTTATTATCAACATTTTGAATATTTGAATTTTTTCTTGATACAGTCAAAATGTCGTACAATAATGATGGTTATTATCAACCACCTTATTCATCGGTATCTTCAATGCAGACACCATCTCGTACCCCACCACCGATAGTTGATGCACCAACAAACCCTTCAACTGCTATATTCAATGCTATATTACAAGACAATGTAGGATTAGTTAGATCAATTTTAAATCAAACAAATTATGATCTTAATAACCTTAGGAACAAAGATGGAAAAACTCCTCTTATGGTGGCTGCCTGTGAAAATTGTCCACATGTTACTACATTTCTATGTCAACTAGATAATTTATTAATTGACTTGCAAAGTTGGTTTTTTTTTTTTTTTTTTTTTTCTTGATTATTTAAATTTTTTGAGAAGTATATTCATTTAGTTTTATTTTTTGGTTATAGACAATGATGGTGATTCAGCATTACATCAAGCTGCTGCTGCAGGAAATATTGGAATCGTTGAAATACTGATAAATGCAAAAGCTACTGTCGATTTGTGTAATAATGTTTGTGCAAATTTTTAATGAAAGCTTTATACTTTAGATTCTAAAATTAAAAATTTTTAATCCTTTTTAAAATACTTTATTATTAGGAGAATATTACTCCACTTATAATTGCCGCTTATAATGGTCACGCTGACGTTTGTCGAGTTCTTATTGATCTCGGTAATGCAAATGTCGATTTCCTAGATAACTCACGTAAGGCTGCTTTAACCTTGGCTGCTTATGAGGGACATGTAGAAGTTATCAAAGTTTTATTGGCTCGAAGGGCTAATGTTAACATAATAGACGAGGTTTGATTTTTTATTCATTTTTTATTGTAAATTAAACTTAAAGTTTTAACTTAATTTTGGCGATTTGATATAGTATGGTTGGACAGCTTTAATGCTTGCGGCGTTTTCGGGTCATTCATCTGTGTGTCATTTATTATTAGAAAATAACGCTAATAAGAATATTGCTGCAAAAAATGGTAAAACTGCTGTTATTCTTGCGAGAGAAGCTGATCATCATGATACTGCAAATATTATAGAAAATTATATTCCTGGTGCTTCTTCCTTTTTACCAAATGGTATACAAGTTGAAGTAGTCACTACTCCAAATTATCCACCTGATCCGGTACCATATTCTGCTCCGTATGCAGTAAATGATTACTTTCATATTCCAATACCGAGTGCAGAAGATCCTTATTCATCACCAAAGGGTTTCATAATGCCACTTGAACGTAGAGATACTAAACGAACACTTATACCTAAAAATTCTGGTCGTCGCAAAGCTTTATATGTTAATATAGACGCGAATTCTAACGGAAATAAGGTGCATATCACCACTGCACCTCATGTAAGAAAAGACATGGCTCCTAGGGATAAAAAAACTTTATGGGTTTATTTTTCATGGGCTGTCACAGCATGTTGTCTTAATCCTTTTTTATCAAAAGTCTGTGGAATGAAAGATTCGAATACTCGTCAGGCATGGCGTGAAAAAGTAGCTTTATGTTTTATTATTTTATGTATTTCCATCTTTTTAGGATTTTTGACTTTTGGATTTTCACAAATTGCATGTCAAATACAACGTCCTCTACATCCACAAGACATTCTTAGACTTTACGGTCCAGATGTACCAGGTATGAAAGTACATATTGTCCGTGGTAGACTTTACAATACTGGAATTTATTTCTCTAGCGGTAGCCATCGCCCAATCGCTCCTTTTAATGATTCGGATTTATTTCCAATTATTTCTGCAAGATTTGGACAAGATATTTCGGACTTCTTCCCACCGGATGATCAAACTTTAAGATGCAATGCTGTACCATCAAATAGTAGTAGCATTTGTAATCAAAATGGTGATAATAGATACCATTGTCATACCTCTTCTGCTTCATATGCTGCATTAAGAAGTTTAGATTTGAACTTGTTCGTTGGGTACACGTGGGATAATATCACTGATACTAAGAATAAATTGTTTGTATATAAAGATAATGTCTATGATTTGAGCGCATATTTAAATTTACAGCCAAATGATCAATGGCTTGGTAATAGTTCGACCACTTGGGTATCAAGCCTCGTGGGTCGTGATGCTACAATGGATATAATGCATACTCAAAGGACAAAAGATATTGCTAATTGTTTTGACCATTTCTTAGTGGGTAAACTTGATGGTACAACTTTAGGATGTATAACAACAAGTACAGTTATAATTTTGATGACTGTAACATTTATTAGTATTACTTTGATCAAGTTTACATCTGCTGTAGCTTTCGATTGGTTTGTATCATGGCAATTGGGTAAAATATCAAAGATACCAAAACCAGACAATGCTATCACATATATAATAATGTTGGTTACATGTTATTCAGAAGGTGAACAATCTATACGTACCACGCTTGATTCTTTAGCTGAAACTAATTACTCTGGCAAACACAAATTATTATTCGTAATTGCTGATGGTAATATCACTGGTTCAGGCAATGATAGGTCAACACCGCAAATTTGTAAAGATTTGTTAGTACCTTTTGATCCAAGTGATCCTCCACCAGAACCTAAATCTTATCATGCTATTGGTGATGGATTAAAACAGCATAACATGGCAGAAGTCAGTATAGGATACTATGTTGTTGGTACCCGTCGCATTCCCATGTGTTTAGTAAACAAAGTTGGAGCTGAACAAGAAATGAATGGACCTAAAGCTGGTAATCGTGGAAAGCGTGATTCTCAACTGATCTTGATGAAATGGCTTAGTCATATTTGCTTTAATGAACGATTGACACCCTTGGAATTTGATTTATTTGAAAAAGTTAGTATTTTAACTGGCGTGACACCTAGCGCGTTTGAAATGATTCTTATGGTGGATGCAGATACGTACGTTAAACCTGATAGTGTTAGTCATATGGTAGCAGCTATGGAGCGTGATCCAAAAGTTATGGGGCTTTGTGGTGAAACAAAAATTGCAAATAAAGCCGATAGTTGGGTTACCATGATTCAAGTATGTTATTTGAAATGTGTTAAGGATTCTATACTATATATTCTTTAATTTATGATGACTAATTAAATGAACCTAATTTAGGTATTTGAATATTACATTTCGCATCATCTAGGAAAACCCTTTGAATCAATTTTCGGTGGTGTTACTTGTTTACCTGGATGTTTTTGCATGTATCGCATCAAAGTACCAAAGTATGATGGTCATATAGTACCAATCCTTGCTAATCCAGATGTTGTAGAAATGTATGCTTCAAACAGCGTAGAAACGTTGCATCAAAAAAATTTATTACTTCTTGGAGAAGATCGTTATCTTACAACTTTAATGTTACGAACATTCCCAAAAAGAAAAATGATATATGTACCCAAGGCTATATGTAAAACTGTAGTACCAGATAATTTCAAAGTTTTATTATCACAACGCCGAAGATGGATTAATTCAACAATTCATAATTTAATGGAACTTATTTTAGTACCACAACTTTGTGGCATATTTTGTTGTTCTATGCAATTTGTAATTTTCTTGGAATTGGTTGGAACTGTAGTATTACCTTCATCACTATTGTTTATGATATATTTGTTTTTTTCAGCTATTAATGGCAATGACGTGTCAGTGCCCCTTATTTTTATAGCTTCCACGTATTTTTTACAGGCTTTTTTGATTGTCTTTACATCACCTAGACCTACATACATTATATGGATGATCGTGTTCATACTTTCTACACCTATATGGTACTTCGTATTGCCATTATATGCATTCTGGCATTTCGATGGTACGTTGTCTTTTTTTTTAAAAAAAAAAAACGCAGGTCGAACTTTAAAATTTCTATAAATTTCTGAGAGATATCAACAGAATATCTGACGTCGATATGTCTTAGCTAACCGATTTTAGCGCGTATTTTCACCTATCTGAAGGATATTGGTTTCTATAGGCATAATAGATATCCAATACTTTTTGATAGAAGTATCCGATATCTGATATGCCTATCGGAACCGATATCCAGATAGGTGAAAATATGCGCTAAAAATCGGTTATCTATCAGACGTATCGACGCCCAATATTCTGCTGATATCTCAGAAATGTATATAAATTTTAAAATTCGACCCGTGAAAAAGAAATATGTATACATTTATTTATTTATTTACTTATTTTATTTATTGCCAATTTTTATTCATCAGATTTTTCATGGGGAGCAACTCGTAAAATCACAGGTGTGGATAATGGACATGGTCATAGTGTTGTTTTCCAATTTGATCCGGTTAATATTCCGATGAAAAAATGGACTCAATGGAAAGTTGAACAAATAGGTGCAAAAAACTTAATTGATTGGTACGGTAATATGAAAGAAAGTAATAAAGGGTTTACGAAACCACAAAAAATTCCTTTACACGGAGGATATAATCAAATGAACAGTTTACCTAGCTTACCATCACCTGGTAGACGTGAAGAGGAAACTACGAGACGAGCTTCACGTGAATATAAATATACTAGTAGAAAACCAGTTGGTGGGCTGCAGCCATCAACTGAATATAAATTTGATAGCGAAAAGCCTATCAGTAGATCGCCACAAACTATAGATTTTTCACCTACAAATAGTGAATCTCAACCTATAGTTTCTTCACCTGGTCATGGTGGATCTCAGTATAAGTCACTATCTCTGCCACAAACTATAGATTTTTCACCTACAAATGGTGAATCTCAACCTATAGTTTCTTCACCTGGTTATGGTGGATCTCAGTATAAGCCACTACCTCTGCCACAAACTATAGATTTTTCGCCTACAAATAGTGAATCTCAACCTATAGTTTCTTCACCTGGTTATGGATCTCAGTATAAGCCACTACCTAAGGCACCTTCATCTGGAATTAACTTTGAAACGAACGGAAGACCTGTTGGACCCAGGTCACCTGAATTCAATAAAGATTATGGTGATTTAAATATAATTTTTAAAGACAGCTAAAAGACTTTTTTTTTTACTATTAATACTGTTCTATTAATTCGGTATATTTGTTATATATTAATGATTTGTTTGATATGTTTTTTTTGGGAGGAATTTTGTAATTTTATTTTTAGCATAGAATGTTAAATTGATTTTACTTAATTGTAAATTATACTAACATACTACGAAATAATTAATGTAAACTTTTTTTAATATATATGTTGTAAGTGGGAATGGAATCATAATGGGTTCGGAATCCACTTAGATTAGAACGGAATAATTATACTAAATATACTAAATATCCCAACCTAACCTTAAATTTCCGAATCAACTTAAATTCTGTTCCCACTTACGACATATATATAGTTTGAACCAAAAAACAATTGGGGATATAATGATAATTAATAAATACTGCAAGTGCCCAGAGCATAATGGAAGACATTGAATGTTTGGTCAATGTGATACAAAAGTTACATTTCTAATGCAATCAATAAATACGTTTTTGATTAGCATCGTTAGTAGACTTATACTATTGCATCAAAAATGTATTTTGAAAATTCTTGTCTACCCACGGTTTTGTACTTTAGTGTAACAACCGCGTTTTTTCACATTGTATGGAAATGACACCCTATGCTCAGTGTTAAAAATTCAGCACAAATATGCTGTGCACAACGAATTTCTAACATTGCCTATGCTTATAGATGACAATATTCCTAGAAGCCCAGAAAAAATCAATTAAGAAAAGGTTCATTTTTTGTAGAATAGATGAATTTAACCGAGTTGATGTTTACACGTATAGCGGCATATGCATAATTGCATCAGGGACGATGATTTGCTGTGTTTCACAGAACACCGCAGAATTTTTCTTAAACACAGCAAACCACAGAAATCACCTTTGGTCACCGCAGAATACAGAATTTCACAGAATATGCCAAAAACACTTTGGTTTTATTCACCGCAGAAAATCATCGTCACTGATCCGAATTAATATTGTATGTTAAACAGTTAAACTAAATTATCACAAAAGATTTAGTGTATTTCACTCAAAAACTATGAATGCGATTACAAAAAGTGGTTGCAATACTAAATCGTTATTAGAGTATATAGCTTTCAGTTTTTTTTATTTCAATATTACATTATAAAAAAAATATTTTAAACTTTATGTAAAATTTTTATTATGTACCAAGAAATTTTGGAACGTCAAAGAAATAAAATATAATCGTAATTTTTTAATTCTTACACGTATTTTAAAAAATAATTTCAAATAGACCCTCGCAGGCTTTGACTTATTGGTTCGACATAGTAAGAAAATTTTTTGTTTAAATGAATAGAAAAGCAAAAAAAAAAGTTACAATTATTTGTAATCAGATATTCCGATCAACACTGCTTATAGGGTGCATTTGAGAAGCCCGACTATATTTAAATATACTATTCAAATTCTTGAATGTTCACTATTTAATTTAATCTATTCGCGTTAATACAGAAAGTGAGTATAAGAAGATTTATTATTCCATTATTTAGAATAAGTTATTCAAGTTCTTGAAAAAAAAACTTCTGAGTCGCTGAGTTTAAAAATTTTATTTCATGTCATGAAATAAATTATTATTATTATTATTATTGTGCCGCTCCAAGTCAAAAATAATAAAATTTAATTTTGAGGATATTGGACGTCCAAAATTCAATAATTTGGATGTCCAATGTCCAATTGATTGGACCTTAAAAATTATAATTGAACATTGGATTGAACATCCAATTAAAGGATCCAACTTTGTCCAATGCGTATCACTGTTATAAACTTATCAATACAAAAATGTTAAAAAGGGGTTATGAGTTCGCTGTTTTTAGCAGGACCTAATCTATATTTTTTGATATACTAAAATACTAAAACATTTTCGATTTACTCGACATACTAAAATTTTTACATAATAAATATTTTCGCCATGCTAAAATATTTTCGACATTTGACAGCCAAATATTTTTTGACATACTAAATTATTTATGATTTCGACTGTCAAAAATAATTTTCACCATTTAAATCTTTCCTGTCCATGCATCAAAGTATTAAGACGTATTCTCATAAGATTTTAGATAAAAAATCAAATTAATGTTATTGATTTGCTCAAGCATCATCCTTACTATGATTGTAATAGACTCAATTGTTTCGATAGATCAAGACCTTTTGAATAGCTATATATATTTGCAAAACTTTCGATAGCATGTAATAAACAATTTGAGAGACATAAGAATAGCAGTATGTTAGTGTGCCGGTAATGAATAAAAAGTCTGAAAGTGTTTGAGCAATAAGTATCTATTACTTTAACGGTTATAAAGTTTTGATGGTTCGGAGCAAACAGTCTGTTGACCAGAATGATGAACACCCTGAACTTTTTAAATTTTTTCTTTGAAACAATAATTTAAGTGTTCGTGACTTAGGAACAAGCAGCACACTTGATGTGTCTGGCTAGTGATTGTGACAGTGTACAACCATTACATATAGCGATATTTAATTAGACAAGTGTTGAAGAAAATAGTATTGGTCTAAATGAAATACACGTATTCTCACGCGATGTGATTAATTTATGATTGCGTTGATTTCAAATGTTACGATAAATTAAAAATAGATTGCAATTGATGTTTGGACAAGCACCTTTATCTTACTACAATTTAACAGTTACTACATATATTTCATAAGATCGAAAATAAAAGTGAATTAGCATAATGTTAAAGCACCATCCACAACAATTCCAAGTTCCGTTTTGTCTCTTCCAGATTTTACTACAAACCATCAAAAAAACAAAATATCGATTCCATTAATTTCTGGTTCTGTTTCTCATTTTCAGACTTTATAAACTTTCATATATTGTTGTTACAACAACAAAAATAACCAACTCAGCTTTTTTCTGAACCTACAGCAACAAAATCAAAATATTGAATATGAAATCTTCCTGCCTTTTCTTCCAAAGATTTTAGCATAAACAATAAGGTAATAACCTGTTGACAACAGTTTTGAAATTTTTTAGCCATCAGCCAATAAACTTGGGGAAAAAAGGTTTCCGAATCTCCATTTCTTGCTAATTGGAATGAGATGGCTAAACGATCTTCTGCTAATAATTAATATGTCACTGTATGTTTTATTCGTTGGTAAATATATTTGATTCGAAACAAATTTTTTTATTTACACTCCGATTCGTTCTGACCGACTGATTAAAGTGCTCGAAAATCCAGTTGGTTCATTATCAAAATGATAAGGTCTATTTCTAAGAATCCGCCCCAAAGTAGTCATCACTTGGAGGATCACTATTCAATTGGGACGTAGTCATTAATCTAACAGTATCCGAAAAATACAGGAGATCTTCTTCCTAATTAAGATCTAGTAAACACAAAAAAAATAGAGAACATTGAGAACATTGAATTTCACACACTGGATTGGATAGAAAATCGTAGACAATAACTTATCAATTCTGAGATTTTTTTTGGCTGGCATCGTTGCTAAGCCAACTTGTTAAGTTGAAGAAAAACTGAGCCGTCAATTTTTTGTTTTCTGAAAAATTGATTCGCTTCATCAAACCCAAAATTTCTGTTTTTGCAAAAAAAAAACTCCAAGTTGTTTTTACAACTTCTTTGACTCTCTGGTGATTGCGATATATAATTTACTATACTCATTTAATTATAACTGGTGCATTCTGCTTGTTTAGTATGGCAACGGGTATTTATTACTATTCATCGTTACACATTTGTCTCTAACTGTTTAAAGTTCCCGATAGGACAATCGTGTCATTTGTCGTAATGTGACAATGTCTCGTTTGTGAATGCCGAAATGTTGCGTAAGGGGTCACAAGTGCCAATGATGCTTAAAGTTCTGTTAGATCTACTATTTGGGCTAGGTGCTGGAAAAAGGACAAAAAAAAGTTCTTCGGAAAATGTTAATAATAGATCATAAGAAAATACAAACTTTAAAGAGCTATAATTAACACAACTACTTTTTTGTCTTAAATGAAAAAAGATTCTAATATTATTCTAAATTGATTTATGTAAAAAAAAATTATTTTGAAAAAATTGTCAATTTCGTCCCTTTTCCCCAGCACCTGGATAAATTCTACTGGGAATCTACAGCTTTCGTCTGAAGCCAACCGTTGAGATATGTTATTTAAGTTCTTGTTCTGTTCTTCAGTAAAATGAATTTTTATTAACCAGGTTTGAAAGATCTATAATTTCTTCAATTAATAGATTATCGAAAATTGGATAACATTAACAATTGATCCGCTAACACTATCTCTCTGACAATTCTTTGCGGTAGAAAGATAATTCTTCCTTAACATTGGTATAACAAAATATTCAAATATTGGCATCCAATAATTGTTGAGAACCAGAAGCTTGATTTACAAAAAGCCGTTTGACATTACTATAATAAAAAGTGCATCTTATAATTAGTATTGCTATATAAATAACATTACTGCGATTTGTAATAACATTCATTATTTAAAAAATTTAGAGTGAATGATATTTTTATGAAGTAGCTATGGCAATAACTATTTACATACAATTTACAAAGTTACAGCACTCTATATTAAAAGTTACTATTAAAATTTTGGCAAATTTTAGCAATTTCTCATAAATAAATCTAATTAAAATGTCAGAAACAAAAAAATCTCAAGATTCCCCATTATATTTCGATTCTCCAGCATCACTTCTAGTTAGTGATGTGCCGCGTACAGTACTATATGTACTGTACTGTACGTACTGTACGCTAAAATTTTTGCCGATCACTTGTTCCAGCCAATCAGATGCCAGAAAAGAACT